CAGGAAAGCCGGAGTCCAATTGATGGACATTACGGGGGCCAACTCGCTCTGGAACTCGACACCAGCTGATCCACTACTCATCTCACCCACGATCCCCTCCCAGGGGGTCGAGGGGGGGTGTGGCCACAAAGGGGGGTGTGGCCACAAAGGGGGACGATCGGGGGGAATGGAGAGGTTGACGAAGAACAGAGCAAAGAACTGAAGGGAATCGGGAAAATGCGGATGATGAAGAAAACAGCGAGAGGAATGCAGTGAAGGTGAGCACTAGGAGTGGTATGGTGATGATACGCATCAGAGTGCGAATGAATATGCGAATGGAGTGGGGACAGCGAGCACCATGAAGTATGGAGCAGGAGGATGGATGATGGGAGGAGAACAACCAAAGAAAGAGCGCCCACGCCGAAAAAGGAGACGCATCAGGCCGTCGGCACAGCAATGGTGGGCTTGTTCTCCACCGCCACCACTATGAGTAGGAGGGGGAGGGGGTCCTCCTCCCCCTCTTCTTACTCCTCCTCCTCCTCCTCCTCCTCCTCCTCCTCCTTCAACTCCTTCCTCCCTCAAACTTCTGGTGGTGGTGGTGGAAAGCAGGCCCACCAAGCAACGCTGGTCCTCGACCCCATCACCTTTCTAGCGGGCCGAGAGGGAGGGGAAATGAGCGGAGGAGAGGAGAGGAGGGGGGGGGGGGGCGACGGCGACCGCGGCGAGCGCCGGGCCGAACGAGGAGCGCCGCGCCGCGCACTGGCCAAACCGAGACGTGGCAGGGGGGCGAGGAGAGCGGAGACGGAGGAGGAGGAGGAAGGAACAGAGGAAGATAAGATAGTAGATGCCATGACAATGGACACTCTAACAATTCTATCATGTTCGAAACATGCTGTATACTTCTGGATCTTATTTGGCAGCATGCTTCCTCTCCATTAATCGACTTCCACACAGATAAGACGAGGCGGGGGACGTCAAAGGGGCAGGAACAGGCAAAAAACGGAGGAGAGGCCCAGCGGGAAGAGCCTCGGAGGGAGGAGCGGGCAGAGGCGGCGGGGCACAAGGCAGCGATTTATCACAGCTCCACGAGCCCCTGCCAGGGCCCGCGCGCTCTGACCAGGATTCCGGGGCGAATCCTGCATGGGTGGCGAGGGCTCCCCACGACGAGCTGCGGCGTTGGCACCCTTCCCCACCCAAGAAAAGGGAGCAAGGGTTCCGCTCCCCCCTCTGAAAGAAGCGGCCTGGGGGCAGATGGGCCACGTGCCACGTGCAGAGCGGCACGAGGACGAGGGGAGGAGGAAGGACGAGGGGAGGACGAGGGGAGGAGGAACGAGGAGGGGAGGACGAGGGGAGGAGGAGGAGAGGAGGACGAGGGAAGGACGAAGGGAGGACGCGGGGCTGCGTCCGAACGAGGAGAGCAGGAGGGGTGCCGGAATGGCCTGGGAGGCGGGGTGGGGCGGGGGCGGCAGGCGAGCCGAGGGGGACGAGCACGATGGAGGCACAGGCAGGGCGGAGGGGAGGGGCAACGGCAGGGGGGGGGGGACTGGCTCAGGGGGGGAGCGTTTGCCTGGGATCGGCGATACCAACCACGGTCCTGGGCGGGGTGGGCTATCGGGCCCCCATCGGCGATGCATCTCCCCCCCGAACCTTTCCCCCCCCACTCAACGTTGCCCCTGAGGTGGCCCACGGCGGCTGCTCCGACGGAGGATAGGAGGAACAGACGACGGCGTAAACATTACAACTTCTGGAGGTCCGCGCGGGCTTCTCTGACCTGCGCTCGACCCCCCTCCCTGGTGCGCGGAGCGCGTCAGGGGGCGGCGCCGGTGACGCCGCCAGGGGGGCCCACAGCGCCGATACTAGGAATCCGCGCGGACCCCCAGTTTTTATGTTCATATCATTGTTTAGAGGCCTCCTAGATGGGGTCCGAGAAGATGGGGTCGAAGGATCGCACCGCATCGCCAATGCATCGCCCATGTGTCGGCGATGCATCGCCCATGCATCGGCGACGTCGGCGACACATCCGCGATGTCGGCGTAGGGAAAATCGAGCTCCGCGTGGCCGATGCATCGGCGACACGGCGCGCTCCTCGGACCACATCTACTCGGAGCCCATCCAAGAGGCCTTTTCTTCGGGGATGGACAGAGCCCCCTTTAGCAAAACGTGGTCTCGTGAAAACGACCTCGGGCCCAAATCTGGCGGGCGAAAGCCTGGAACATGACGGCCACGGCGCCCTCTCGAAGCGAGAACGGACAATTCTCTAATCGACGTGTCAGGGTGGGGTTTCCACCAATCTGTCCACCCCGATTGTTTGTTCCCCGAAGAAGAGGGCCACATCGAGCCGCGTGGCCGATGCGTCGGCGATGCGGCGCGATCCTCCGACCGCATCTACTCGGAGTCCATCCCCAGGGTCGACGGGTGGCTACTGGGCATTCTGGTGCCGACGTGATGGGCCAATTTTTCACCACCGCTACCACCGGTAGGAGGAGGAGGAGGAGGAGGAGGAGGAGGAGGAGACCTCCCTATCCTCCTCCCTCGGAGTCTAGTTATCCAGGAGGCCCAGACTGTTTGTTGCGGGCTGGGCGAAAGGGGGGGATAGCAAAGGGGGATTTGAGAATCAGCTCGCGTAGCTGATTTCCCCGGCGCCTCCAGGCGCCGAGAGGCGCACATGCATCGAGGAATGGGCCCGACAGCGGGGCCGAAACCAGCTGCATGCAGCGGATTTCGTACCCCCCCCCCCCCTCCCTATCCCCCCCTTTCGTTCGGCCCGAGATTGTTTGCTCCCCTGGGAGGAGGGCTACTGGGGAAACCAAAAGGTACCCATACCGCTGCTCTCCGGACCTCTCCCGGGGTGCGTTCTGACCGATATTTCGCTGCGAATCCAGCGGTGGCGACGAGGGCCTCCGAGGAGGCCCAGCAAGGAAAACAAGCAAAGGATAGAGGCCTGGATACCCCTATTCCTCCTCTGAGCCACGGCGGCCGCTCCACCGGGGGGGAAAGCTCCGTTTCCCGCCGCTGCGCCCGCCCGCGAGGCGCCAGGCGCGCCGTGCCGCCCGCGGCCCCCGCGGTCACGGCCCGCGCCCCGCGCGCCGCCGCGGGGGCCGGCGGCGGGGGGCCCCGCGGCGGCGGCGCGGGCCTCCTCCGGGCAGCCGACATGGGGAACCGAACTCTTCGGGGATGGACAGACCTCCCTTTAGTAAAACGTGGTTTAGTGAAAACGACTTCGGGCCCAAACCTGGCGGGCGCAAGCCTGGAAAATAACGGCCACGGCGCCCTCACGAAAACCGAAAACGGACAATTCACTAATCGACGTGTCACTGTTGGGGGTTCTGTCCACCCCCGAACTCTATACACCGACGCTCGTTGCGGCCCGTCGCTGGACTTCGCACAGGGAAGCGGATCCTGGTGCGTACGGGATCCGGGTGCGTCTGCAAATTGTGCGTTGCTTCCCCGGGAGAGCGGGGAAACAGGTCTACACCACACCACCCCGACGTCGTCCCCGGCCTTCAAGAAAGTCCTGGGACTGAAAAACCACCCAAGGCCCCGGTGGCCATGTTTGCATGTGGCCGCCCACCTAAGCTCCAAGGCCTCATATGGGACGCACAGAGACATACTAAAACCATACGTCCGCCTTGGAGGCGCGCGTCCGACCCGAACATATTGTATACCCATCTTGTAGCATATCGTTTCTCGAGCGGTGTGGCCAGAAAGCGCCCGCCACGGCACATATACTATAAGATTTCTCGGTGCGCGCGTCGCCCCTGGGGGGGGCGACGAACACATAGTATAAGTATGTTGGGGGGACGCCGATCATAGGCAGTTCCACCTAAGGCCCCAGTGGCCATGTTTGCATGTGGCCGCCCACCCCATTTCGGCACAACCCTCACGCGCTTCTTGGCCCCACTAAAGGGGGATCCACCCAATACCACATTGGCCATGCTCGCATGATCGCCCCGCTAATGTCGGCACCCTCGTAGCAAGCACCCCGGCAAGTGAAGCCGTTGATAGAAGGAGAAGAAGCGGCAGACCTCACACTTTGAGCGCTCCGCGCGGATCTCTTGGATCTGCGCTGGACCCCCCTCCCTGGCGCGCGGAGCGAGCCAGGGGCGACGCCGGAGGTGACGCCAAGGGGCCCAGCGCGGATCCAAGGAATCCGCGCGGAGCGCAAAAAGTTTATGTTTATGGCGTTTTGTCTTATTCGACTCTCAGGACAGCAAAGAGGGAGCAGCAAATCCACCCTCACAATTATCACCCCGACAAGCGAGACCGTTCTTGTAAACGCGCCCGAGGAAGGAACTGAACAGGGCAGGGCTGTTTAGTAGACGACCAAGGCCGTTTAGTGAGCACAAAGTATTCGGGTCGGGGTGGCTTTTCTTTCCCCCCCTTGATGATACATGCGTCAACCTGAATCGGCGGTCTTCTGAGCCGGGGAATGGGATGCAGATGCGGGATTCGGAAAGAACTTATCTGGGGGTGTAGAGATGGGGCCCTACGGGATTTGGCACTGAGAACGAGAACCTCGAACAGTGCAGCTTCAACTTGTGATCGGTTTCCCGTCCCGAGGGCCCATCCCTCGGGGCCCCAGGTTTCGGGCAGCCCCCTGGTAGCGCAACAGGATGTTCTGGTCCTCAAGGCCCCATCCCACAGGGCCCCGTCTTTGAAGCTCGGAACAAGCCTTCGAGGGTGCGCGCGGATTTCTTGGATCGGCGCTGAACCACTCCTTCCTGGCGCGCGGAGCGCGCCAGGGGCGGCGCCAGGGAGGTCCAGCAGAGATCCAAGAAAACCGCGGGGACCGTGAAGAGCTTCTGCTTGTAAAGGCCTCTCAAATGGCGTCCGAGTAGATGGGGTCGGAGGACCGCGCCGCATCGCCGATGCATTGGCGCCGACGGCGTGGAGAAAATCGGGATCCACATCGAGCCACATCGCCGATGCATCGGCGATGCGGAACGACCCTTCGTCCTTCGAAGCCATCTATACTCGGACCCCTCGAAAACCTAGCGTTTGAGCAATTTGTTATTCTCCGATCCTCCCCCGCGAAGTGCGCGACGCACTGCGCCGACAAGGCCTCCCACTTGGAACCCGTGGTCAGCGTGGGCGCTCTCTGTGCCGGGCACGTTCTGTTGCTCGTCTCGGCCAGAGGAACAACGCACGGCATAAACAGAAGTGTTCGGCACTTCGACTTCTTGGACCCGAGCTGCCCCCCCCCTCCCCGGCGCGCGGACAGCGCCAGGGGCGTCGCCGGAGGCGCCGCCAGGGGGGCCCAAACTTTCGGCACTCCGCGCGGACTCCTTGGATTCGCGCCAGGCCCCCCTGGCGGCGCCACCGGCGCCGCCCCTGGGTTTCAGCTCGGATCCAAGATATCCGCCTAGAGTGCCGAAAAATAATGCTTATGCAGGTTCCTGCTCTTCGATCGTGTCCCTCCTGGCCCTCTTCTGGGCGCCTGGGCCTGGGCCTCGTGCCCTCTCTGTCTCTCCCCGCGCCGGTGCCTCCCAGTTTCTGCCGTCCGCCTCCCCACTCCTCCTCCTCCTCCTCCTCCTCCTCCTCCTCCTCCTCCTCCTCCTCCTCCTCCTCCTCCTCCTCCTCCGCTTCCTCCTCCGCCTCCTCCTCCTCCGCCTCCTCCTCCTCCTCCTCTTCCATCCGCCTCTACGTCCTGCGGCTCAGCTCCTTGAGAGTAGGAGCGGTGAGCCCGAGGGCCCCGACTGCTGAGGCAGCCGGGCCGCTGGATGGGAGGGAGTCCCTCCCGAGTCCCAGCAGGCAGCCCGCCTGCCGCCCCGTCCCCCCTCGCCCTCCTCCTCGACCCGCCGCCTCCCCCTCCCTCTCGACCCGCCGCCCCGTCCCCCTCCCCTCCTCCTCGCCGCCGCCGCCCCGTCCCCCTCCCCTCCTCCTCCTCGACCCGCCGCCTCCCGTGCCTTCCAGGGGGAGCCTGCGGCAGTGGCCTCGATGGGGGTGCACCTCGCACGCTTCGCGCCGGGCCTCCGCTCTCGCCGCGCCCCTCGCACGCTTCGCGCCCGCCCCCCGGGGAGAGCTCCGCCCGCGGCCGTCCGGGCCGAGAAGCCCGACGCCCCATCGGCAGTCGCTGCTCGTGAGGGGCCACGGGTCGTTGCACGCGAGGCGCCCTCGCTGACTGGAGCGCTTGCCGACCGCCTGCCTTTCTGGCTGACCGTCTTGCTGGCTGACTTACTGACGTACTGACTTGCTTACTGACTGGCCGGTTGCACCGATTGGCGAGCACTCTCTTGTTCGGCCGCCGAGCGCGCTGCACATGGCGCATCCATCAGCGAACAATCATACTTGGGGGCCGCAGAATGCGCAACATATGGCGCACCCGTTAGCGGCGGTAGCCTTTATGACCAGCCGCCAAGTGCGCAACCAATTGCGCACCCGTTAGCAGGCAGTTTTGATCGGCCGCAGAGGGCGCACATTATGGATGGCGCAACCCATTCATGGCACAGTCTATGGCGCAACCCAAAGCGCAAGCAAGAGCGCGGCGTTTTGTGCTCGAAGCCACCGCAAGGCGTAACCCATAGCGCAACCCATGGCTGGCGCCATCCATGGCGCAACCAATTGCGCAACCAACGGCGCGATCATTGGATGGCGCGCGCAATGGCGCAACTCATGGATGGAGCGCGAACGTTGCAACGGCGAGGCCCATCATGGTGGGCCCCAGCAAGATCTACGGGACTGCGCCATGTTTATGCTCGCCGTCTGGGCTGGCGGCAGGGCCCAACCTGCAAGCTGGTTGGCGACGTGTTCGAGCAGCCTGGCAGGCAACCCCTCCCCAAGCCTCCACGCAGCGTCGCGGAAAGAATCGCGGCAGGCCAGACTCTCAAACAGTTGCCCTTTCGGGCCATGGGAGCCCTCGACAAAAAACAGAGTCATCATGCAAATCATCCCTACAGTTCATATGCAAGGACGCGCCACGGCCCGGCACGGCTTGCGCGAAGGATGCAGCCTTCGCGCAAGCCTCTGGGGAAGCCTGCCTTCTCGCTCCCCCCGCCTCGCTCGCCGCCGGCGAGCGCCCAGCCGACCGCGGCACTCGGCGTCGCACAGCGCGGGGGGGCCCTGGCCGCCCTCCCGCGCAGCCGCGGCGCGCGCCCGCAGGGCCGCAACGCCCTCGCCGCCGAGGGCCCGCAGCTCCCGCAGGGCCCCGATCTCGTGCTCCAGCTCGGGCCCGACCTGGCGGCGCACGAGGGCGTGGTTCCTCCTCCGCCTCCTCCGCACCCTCCTCCGCCTCTCCCTCCGCCTCCTCCTCCGCCTCCTCCTCCTCTTCCTCCATCTTCTCCTCCTCCATCTTCTCCTCCTCCATCTTCTCCTCCTCCTCCTCCGCCTCCTCCTCCTCCCCGGGTCCCCCCACCCTCCTCGTCCTCCTCCCCCCCGCTCTCCTAGTCCTCTTCCCCCCCTCCCCTCCTCGTCCTCCTCCCCCTCTCACGCCCACGGCGGTACATTTTGAGGCACCTGCTGGGAGGTCTTCGTCGGAAGGACTGCGGATGATTACCGTGGAGGCCGTCCATGAGAAACCTTCCACAAGACGCCCATCCCTGAAACCCCAGAACGTCCATGGATTTTTGGCGTGGGAACGTCGCGCTCTCCATCGCAAAATCATCGAATCCCAAGAAACCCAGGGCACCCAAGAAGCAAGCAGGGTGTTTCTTGGCACGGGTCTCCACCGTAAGCCCCATTGGGGGGCTGCTACGCCGGATTAGGCCGCGGATTACGCGGGATTGCACCTGATTGAACGGGTTGAAGCCGGATGTCGGACCAGGGCAAAGTCAAATTTCGACCTGCCAGGAGTTGCATCCGAAGCTCTACAGTCCACACTGATAGTAAGGAAGAGCGTCAGGTTCTGCCCCGACCCCGCCCCGCCCCCTCCCCACTCATATAAAGCCTGCTGTCGCCGAGCGGAAATGCTCTCCCGCCCTCAGCCGCAAGACGTTGAAGTAAAGACCACTCTGGATCCAGGAGGGGCCCCAGTTCTCGGCTCGCTCCGCAGCTCTTTGTCTGGAGAACCCGTTCGTGGCCGAGACCAGCCGTGGCATGGTGATCGTGCCTGGCAACGCACGACAAAATCTTTCCTCCTCCTCCGCCTCCTCCTCCGCCTCCTTTTCCTCCGCCTCCTCCGCCTCCTCCTTCTCCTCCTCCTCAGCCTCCTCCTCCGCCTCCTCCTCCTCCGCCTCCTCATCCGCCTCCTCCTCCTCCTCCTCCTCCTCCTCCTCCTCCTCTTCCTCCTCCTCCTCATCGGTCTCCTGCTCCTCCTCCTTCTCTTCCACCTCCCTTTCCTCCACCGCCTCCTCCTCCTCCTCCTCCGCCTCCCCTCCGCTTCCCCTCCTCCGCCTCCGCCTCCTCCGCCTCCTCCGCCTCCGTCTCCTCCTCCTCCTCCTCCTTCTCCTCTTCCACCTCCCTTTCCTCCGCCGCCTCCTCCTCCTCCTCCTCCTCCTCCGCCTCCTCCTCCGCCTCCCCCTCCGTTTCCTTCTCCTCCTCCGCCTCCTTCTCCTCCGCCTCCTCCGCCTCCTCCTCCTCCTCCTCCTCCTCCTCCTCAGCCTCCTCCTCCGCCTCCTCCTCCTACTCGCGCCGTGTTCCTAGGCAGCAGCGCGGTGGCTGTGCTCGGCGGCACGCACGAGGGGTCGGCGCGACGCGGGGGGGCCTCCTCAGAAGGCGGGGGGAGCTTCTCAGGAGGCGCACCTAACACTTCCGGTGGCACAGGAGCCTTCCATACCATCTTGCCGGCTCTTGCGGATCGACGCTCGTCGCCACGAAATCGACGCTCATCGACGCTAAATCGACGCTGGTCGACGCTAAATCGGCACTATTTCATCGACTCCAAGACGCTGATCGACGCTAGTTGGCGCTAAAGACGGAGTTAAGAGGGTATACCAGGCTCCCATGCTTTGCTACCGAACAACACTGATAGCAAGGATGAGCGACTCTCCAAGGTCTCCCTTGCATCATCTCCTTTTCGGCCCATCCCTGACCACTTTCGTTGGTCGTGCCCCGCTCGATAGGTGTCGGCGTGGCCTTCCGAGGTCCTTGCATCCTCATCGTGCATCCTTACGATCAGTCTTGACTGTAGACCAGGGGCGGTTGAGCCACTGTAGTGCTCTCCTATGCGAGGCGCCGGCTGCGCCCAGCAAAGCACTACCATAGGTCAGCCGCCCATGGTGCATAGTGGCAGTGGTGAGAGAAGAGCCCGCAACGACCAGCTCCCAGCGCACCCCAGACGGCTTGCCGAGGAAGAGAAAACGGCACACACGTACTCAGTCGGAGCTACGCGCGGATCCCTGGGATCGGCGCTCACCCCCACCTCCCGCACGAGGATCGCGTGTGGGGGGGCGCTGGAGGAGCCACCGGGGGGGCATGGGCGAAGATTCGAGAAATCCGCGCGGAGCTCTGAAATTTCTGCTTGTGCAGTGTTCTTCTTCTTCGAGCTTGGCTGGCGCACTGGCGCAGCGCAGCAGCCGCGACGGGGTCGCCACGGCGTCGACGGGGAGGTCGTGGTCGGCCATGACGCTGCACGGGAGGTCCTCGCTGGCCACGAGCTGCAGGTCGTGGCACAGCGTCAGCACAGGCGTGGTGGCTGGGTCGACGAGGCCTAGCTCGCTCAGGATGCCCCACTCGACCTTAGGATGCCCCACTCGGCCCTCGCGCGATTATCTTGGATCCGCGCTCCGAACGCCAGGGAGGGGGGGAGGGCCAGCGCAAACTCAAGAAATCCGCATGGAGCTCACAACAAACATGCTGTTTCCCACACGCGCACAGCACCACTGGTGGCACAACCACATCGTGAGCCAAAGGTCGCTAGGCAAACTGGGAACACCGCGGAGGATAACCCGGGGCGGGCGAGGACCCGCGCCGATCGGCAAAACAATGAATAAGAAAACGATCACTTAACTTCTGCGAGAGTATGACTATGCAACTTTCTCCTCGGACACGACCTCTCCGTAGCCCTTGCCCTTGCCCAGCCTGACGCCGTTCGGGGCCACCGCGCACGCGGCCACGACCACGGCGTCGACGGGGGGCAACTCCGCGAGGCCTAGGGGGGCCCCCCACCGCAGGTACTCGCGCTTGTCCCCCGCGTGCACCAGGCTGCAGCTGCTTGGTGCCAGGTCCCTGCGGCATGAAAGATGCGTGGCCTGAGGAAGACGAGTCCTGGATAATGAGGAGGATGATGACGATGATTCTGATTCAGATGATGCTGATTCAGATGATGATGATGATGATGATAATGATGATGATGATGATGATGCTGCTGCTGATGATGATGATGATTATGATGATGACGATGCTGCTGATGATAATGATGGTGGTGGTGGTGATGATGATTACTGGTGACGATACTGATGATGGTGGTGATGATGATGCTGACAGTGACGATGATGATATTTATGGTTAAGGTGATGATGTTATGATGACGATGATGATGATGATGATGATGATGATGATGATGATGATGATGATGATGATGATACTGAGGATGACGGTGGTGGTGGTGACGATGTTGATGATGATGATTGTGGTGGTGATGATGATAATGATGATGACGATGATGATGATGTTGCTGATGATGAGGCCGACGTTGCTGTTGATGGTGATGGTGATGTTGATGATGTTGGTGCTGATGATTATGATGCTGATGCTGATGATGACGAGGAGCAGGATAATCAGGAGAGGAGGAGGATGAGGGAGGGGATCGAGGAGGCGGAGGCGGAGGCGGAGAAGCGGGTCGAGGAGTTATAGCATGGACGGAGGTGGTAAGTGAGGAAGGGAGAAAGGAGGGAGGGAGGACGGAGAACGGGAGCAGGCCCTGGACCATCTCCCAAGACGTGCCTGCTCGTCCCGAGTCGTATTCTGACGGCCCTGGGGCCTGAGCGGCGGGCCCAGGAGGCCGAGGTACCGCGACACACCCCAGGATCCGCTTCCTTCAGGACCCCTTCCCTCCACGGCGACCTGTGCAGCTTCAGGTACAGGTAGTCCGCCCCCGGGTACGGCGGCACCAGCACGGTCCTGCCGGCCATCACCAGCGCCGAGCGCAGCGCCGCGGCCCCGATCGAGGGGTGGACCTTCACGACCCGAGCCTCCCGCAGCCAGGGCGACGCCAGGAGCCGGCCGCACGCGGCCGCGGAGCCGGCGCAGTGGGGGATGCGCCCGTGGCACGGCCGCGGGAACAGCACGGCGTCGGCGGCCTCCTGAAGATACCCCGTGAGATCTCTGACTGCAAGGGCGTAGTAGGGATAGCGATTGGTTCCACGCCGGCATATCATTAGGAACATAACAACGCAACAAACAAAAACTTGTGGCGCTCCGCGCGGATTTCTTGGATCTGCGCTGAGCCCTCCTCCCTGGCGCGCGGAGCGCGACTTCTCGCCGCGTGCGGCCCTGGGCCCCCCCCCCCGCAGCCCGCCGTGCCGCGGGGCGCCCACATGCTCTCGCGGCTCGCCCCGGCCCGAGAGGGGGGGCTCAGTTCACCCCAGGCAGCGAAGAAGAACCCTCCCCTGGCCATCGCTCAGACGTCCATTCCCTGTGCTTCTTGTCGGTTTCGTGCGCGGTTGTTTCGCAGGATGATCCGGGATGCTCCTTAATAGTCCCCGCCGAGAAAAGATGCGCACGCCCGAGCGATACCAAGTCCCCCCCAAGGCAGCCGTGGCACCGCACCGATGTTTATATACACTCCAGGGGGGGATTTGATACGAAAGAGAACTTCCGCGCCGCGCCAAACGGCACAACGAGCAGATTGCTTATCCACCCCCCGCCCGCAACCGACGTCTGTGAGCTGGACTGGCGGCAAGAGCGCTGGCCGGGGTACCGCGGATCCCGGAGGCCCAACGGAGGCTGTTATGAAAGAGCCCTGGGCCGAAAGGGCGTGCGAAAAGGGCCCCGACCTGCGTGAAGTGCCGCTTCCCTCCCGGGCCTCGCCAAGCCTCGCCCCCCCCCCCCTCCCACTCCATGCAAGGGAGCTTGGCAGACTCTGACGGAACACTTGCTCTTCGTTAGGGAGCAACTGCTGGGAGGTCTTCGTCGGAAAAAGATTACGGAGGATCAAGCCCCATTGCGGGGCTGTTGCGCCAGAATGGGCTTCGGGTTCAGCGGGGTTAAGACAAATTAAGCGGGATTAAGCCGGATTCAGCGGGATTCAGCGGGATTAAACCGGATTAAGCCAGACTTGACCTAACAGGAAGTGCATCCGAATCTGTTGGTCCTCTCGATAGGAACAAGGAGCAGCGGCGCCACCACCACCACCGCCAGGGGCCAACGGCGGGAGGAGCCAGAAGGGGTCTCCCTGATAGTGTGCCCCCCCCAATCTCGCTCGAGACATCCCGCCCCCAGCTCGGCGAAGCACCGTGTGCCCTCCTCGCTGGAGGTGCCCCCCCCCGGTGGTGCTGCTGTCGCCTCCCCTCCCCCGATCGCGAGCAGAGAGCGCCAGAGGCCTCGGTCCAGAGCGTCCCACACGCGGTGGCGCACGCGCGACTTCCACGCTTCCGCCGCGCTGTGCGCGGAGGCTGCGCTGCCGCCTCCGGCGCTGGCCGCGGCCGCCGCTGGCGCGGGGCCGGCGTCCCCATCTTCCGCCGCGGCCATCCGCCCGAAAACTCGAGCGAGGGAGGAGGAGGAGGAGGAGGAGGAGGAGGAGATTTAGGACCAGTCCCCCCAATCACCGACGAGAGAGAAGGGGGGGACCAAATCTGCAGACACTGAGCGGTCACTTATAGGGGAGGAGAGTGCGGGGGGAGGGGGGGAGGGGGAGGCATAACGCGCACGATGGACCAGAGGGTAACAAAAACACAAACGCGCGCTCTCTCACCAGACGCCAACCAACGCGAATGCACCCTGAGGCCTCAGCTGGCTCGAAATGGAACGGGTGAAATCGCCAAGCGAGGGGCTGCAGCAAGTCCCAGATCGAATCGAACGCGGCCCGGCCACATCTGCAACGCCAGATGGTGATTTGGCTAGGCGGGCCCAGCCATAATATTCGCGACGGTGTTGCAAACCCGCCGCTAAACAAACAAGTGTGTGTGTGTGTTAATGCTTGTGCATGTAAATTCACATGAAAATCTGCAAAACCGCATCAAACCCTTTATGACATCATGCTCCGCGTCATACCGCCATTCCTGCAAGGGGGGGCTGGGAAAGGGGGGGGGGCACATCGACCTCGAATCGGCGATGCATCGACGATGGATCGGCGATTGGCCTCCGATAAAGAATCCGCACCTTCCAGGGCAGACTTTTGTTATCGGACCCCTATCCGCGATCAATGGGCGATTGGGGGTCGATGCATCCCCCCCCCTATGCCTATCCCCCGCATCGTTGCCCATGACCTGGGCACATCCCCCTTCACGCTGCCTCAGCAGTTTTCGTGTCATGGCTCGGCTCTCCGGCGGCCGCTCGGGACGATTCGGGCACTCCCCGAACGGCCTCGGCGAGGCGCAGCTGCTGCACAGCACCCCAGGGCTAAAAAGCTCCGCCGAGAACCGGCGAACACGCCCGAAAACCTCGAGTCTCCCTCCCTAACGTTGCCCCTGCCAGCACGCCTCCTCGATCCTCCGATGCCGCAGGTCTCTCTTCGCTGGCTCGCCTGAGCCTATCCCCGCCGACGTTGCCCTCTGACCAGGAGAGGAGTCCCTCCCCGAGACCTCCCTGCACCTATCCACGTTGCCCCTGACTAAGAGATTGAGCAGGAACTCACCGTCCTGACAGGCCTACCACCAAGTGTCCTTCGAACAAGAGAAATGTATGATAACAACGAGTTCTTAGAACATAAGCCCGACGTCTGACATCAGGACGGCCTCAGCCAGCAGTGCTCCAAGAACAGTGCCGACCACAGCAGCTTCGTAGAGTAGTCCTTGGTGGGCCTACTCTGCAAGCTAGGACGCCTCGCCACTGCTTGACCGAGCGAGGCGAAGGAGGAAGAGCACCCTGGCCGTCCAGAGTTTCGTCATTTTCGTCGTGCCGTTTCCCCTGGGACCGGCTCCTCATGCCGAATCCTGCTCTGACGGTCCCGAGGCAGAGCACCAGAGGCCGAAACAATCAACAGCAAAAAAGCCTCCGCCTTGCTTCTCTCATGACCCGCAAGGGGTTTCGCAGGAACAAGGAAAAGCGACAGGCGACACCAACAGGGCGAGGAGATGCAAGGAGCCAGGGGGTCTCCCTGGTGGTGGGGTCCCCCCCCTCTCGCTCGAGGCGTCCCCGGCCTCCAGATCGGGGAGGCCTCGTGTGGACATTCTCGCTGCAGCAGGGCCCCCCGGTGGTGTTGGCGCCGCATCTCCCCCCTCCAGAGTCTGGGGACCCGCGAGGCCCATGGGCGAGAGGAGGGGGGGAGGAGGAAGGAGGAGGAGGGGGAGGAGGAGGAGGAAGAGGAGGAGGAGGAGGAGGAGGAGCAGGAGGAGGAGGAGGAGAATGAGGAGGAGGAGGAGGAGCAGGAGGAGGGAGGAGGCGGAGGAGGAGGCGGAGGAGGAGGAGGCGGAGGAGGAGGCGGAGGAGGAGGAGCAGGAGGAGGAGGCGGAGAAGGAGGAGAACCCCCCCGCCCCCACGAACCGAGGGAGAGCACCCCGGCCGACCCCTCTGCTGCTGCTGCGCGGGCTCACGCGCGCGGCGGCCGCGCCGTGGGCGCAGCACGGCCCGCGCGCCACCGCGGCCGCGGCCGCGGCCGCCGGCCTCAGGCTGCCCCGCCCGGCTTGGCGCGGCGCGGCGCCTTGCTGCCCTTGCCGCGCTTCCCCTCGGAGGAGCCAACCATGCTTAACCAACGAAAACCCTGGGCCCTTTGAGAGGGGGTCTATCTGAGGAGGGCCAAGACATTAGGGATGTGTTTTCTTCTGCAGATGTACCGGAACCGAACCGCCCAGAATTATCATCCCTGTACTGCGAAGACGGGGACCTCAGTGAGGCCAAGCCTGCATCGTGATATCAGGGTTAGGGGTTCTTTTGCTCTCGATGAAACCATGGTTGCGTGAGAGTCGGCCGCTGATCCAAACGCCATGGCCTGGGACGCACGAGGACATACCAGTGCCATATGTGTCCTCGTCGGAGGCGTGCGTCAGACCCGAGCACTCAGTACGAGCATCTTGCAGCATGTCGCTTCCCGAGCGGCACGGCCAGGCAGCGCCCGCCACGAGGCCTACACTACAAGATTTATCGGCGCGCATCGCCCCTGGGGGGGGGCGGGGGGGGGGGGCGACGCACACGCCGTGTCAGTAGGCCGGGGTGGCGCCGACCCAGCCAGAACACCACGACGGACCATGTCGGACACACGCCGCGAAGCACCCCCTCGCGAGAGGCCAAGCCCGGAAGAAGCCACGCGCGCCAGGTGCGGCAAGTGGGAGACGAGGGCTCCTCAAACAGTGACGAAAAAGTGCCACACGAGGCGGCCTCCCTCTCTCTCGAAACACGCCGCGAAACACCCTCTCGCGAGAGACCAAGCCCCGAAGAAGCCACGCGCCAGGCGCGCCGACTGGGGAGACGAGGGCTCCTCAACCAGCGAAGCAAAAGTGCCGCACGAGAGACGGCCTTCCTCCTCTCTCTCGCTCCTGCTGCGGCTTCTCCTCGCTTCTCCTCCTCCTCGCCCTCATCACTATCGTCATCACCATCACCACGTCCTCCTCCTCGCCCTCGTCCTCCTCCTCCTCCTCCTCGCCCTCGTCCTCCTCCTCCTCCTCGCCCTCGTCATTATCGCATCGTCACCATCAGCATGGCTGTCAGACGCCTCATCGACATAACGTCATCAGCATCGCAATCATCGTCGACGTCGTCACCATCATCAGCAGTCATAATCATCGTTATTATCATCAACATGAATAGCATCAGCATCAGCATCAGCATCAGCATCATCATCAGCATAACATCATCAACATCATCACAAGCATCATCATCAGCATCACCATCAGCATCATACGCAGACTCAGCATCATCATGATCATCATCAGCATATTCACCACCACCATCGCCATCGTCATACAAATACGCATACGTATCATCAACATCATCATCGGCAACATCATGATCATCGTCGTCATCGTCAACGTCATCGTCTCATCATCACCATTACCATCAGCCTCATCAACGTCATAACCATCACAATCACCACAAGCCCCATCATCTACATCATCACCATCATAATCAGAATCATCATCATCATCAGCAGCATCATCATCGTCATCATCGTCGTCATGATCATCGTCATCACCACCGCCTCCATCAACGTCAATGTCATCATCCACAACATAATGATTATCGTCGTCGGCGTCGTCATCATCGTCATTACCATCACACACATCGTCCCCATCGCTATCGTCATCGCCATGGTCATCGTCGTCATCATCACCACCACCACCATCAACATCCTCATGCTCATCCGCGACATCTGTATCATCGCCAACGTCTTCATCTTCATCGCCCCCATCATCCTCACAACGCCTCTCCCGAGCTTGGAGACGCGCGGTGCCACAGGCCACGGCCTCCCGTGCGCCATCGAACAGTCGCCACCCGATGGCGGCCGCAGGCAGCTGAGTATTGTCAGTTGTGGGCCAAGTCTGCATCAAAGAGCGGGGGGGGCGGGGAGGGGCGGGGAAGCACCGCGGTCGCCGCGGCGATCCTGGTTACGTGGCTCCCGGCGCTGTCCGCTTCGGACCTGATCTTGGCCCGACTTCTGGGCTATTTGGGACCATGTTTTCACCAGTTTTGGGCCGGAGTCGCCCCTTCGAGGCGGGGGAGGAGAAACATGAAGGGCGAGGAGGAAGGGCCACATACAGTCCAAATGCGTTCCAAATGCAACACAAACTGATTTCAGCGTCGCCGCCCAAGGCTCCCGTGAACAGACATCGAACCGTACTTACAGAGGCCTCCCAAATGAGGTAGCCGATGAGCCCAGAGGATCGCGCCGACGTCGCCGATGAATCGCTGACGCCGCGCCGATGGTTCGGCGACCTCGGCGCATCGACGAAGTCGGCCTACACACTGGAACGTTCCAGTCGCGACTGACGGGATGGGTCGCTGGTTACCGATGTTGCTTCAAATGCCTGTATCGGTCGCGACCCATTTGCTGAAAGATCGGTCGCGACAGACTTGGGACTTGGCGTGCCGATTGATCGCTACCGATCGCAACCGACAAAAATCTGGTTCGTGGACTCGAGATCCGCACGTTTCGCTGGGTTTCGCCCGGCTCGGGCGGTTTCGCTCGGCTTCGCCCAGTTTCGGGCCCTGGGGCCCTCACAGATCGATCCAGCCCGCAAAAGTGCCGCAGAAAGAGTGGGTATTGGGCTGTGGTCGTGAGCTTTAAGATGCTCCCATCTCTGTTCGCGGCGGCGGACTTCAAGGGGCGAAAAGCGGTCTACAAAAACTGTTCCGCCGTCAGGGGTGCGGTTGCTAAAGATTATATTTGGCTCGAAAAACAATAACGCGGGTTCGAAATTCAGCTCCAAACTGCTGCTTTCGTCGCGCCGGCCCAGCGAACCAAGAGCCGAAAAGTCTACTCTCGCACAGTGCATGCGAGTTTGTAGGCGAAGTGCCCCGAAACCTTCGCCAAGATCACGCCTCGAAATCTTTCGAAAGCCCCCGACCTCGGGGCGGCTGGAACATTTACGCCCCGACGTGCCACCGCAGAGGT